TGCAAAACCCCCACCACCCGAGGCCATGGCTCCAAACCCATCACCAGCCGTCGCCATGGCCGCAAATCCACCAACACTACTCGCTGACCCAGAAGAAGAAGAAGAAGAAAATCCTGCTCCTGGTAAGCCACTACCAAGCTGCCTCAACTGTCAAAAAGCTCCAAGAGCTTGTGGTCCTGCCCGTATTTGTGCTGGCTGGCCAAAGCCACTCGTACCGCCCCCTACCAGTGATGGTTGGCCAAATGGACTTGCACCTGAACCTATCTGTGCAGGCTGCCCAAAGGCACTCACACCCAAACCTATCTGTGAAGGTCGGCCAAAGGCGCTCATAGTTGGAGGTGCCCCACTTTCTGATGGAGAAGAAAAGTCAGGTTGGGGGGTTAAATTGAGGGTGGGGTAAAAGACGCAGGCCTGAATAGCTGCCCGGAAGGAATAGAGAGAGAAAATGAAGCGCTTGTTTGAGTTGAAGGGGCAAATGGGGTGCCAAAAGGGCTGTTGCGTTTTGAGGCAGTCGGGGAAGATGAGCCAAGCGCAAAATCACCAAATGATCCCAAGCTCATGTCATTTGTTGGGTCTGGAGCCTCCTCCTCCATCCCATCCTCCTCAAGGATGGTAGCATCCAAAGTCTCATTCTTCATGTCAGCTAATGGTTGAATTGCATTGGTGGGTATTGGTTGGGCTATTTTGGGGGTTGCGGAAACTGCAGGGACAATCGGTGCTGGACTTGATAGATTTACTAATGTACTTGTAATTGTGTTTGAAAACCCATTTGTTGATGAGGGTGATGATATGAGTCCGGGCCCTGAGCTAGCAACAAAACCTAGATTTGGGGGGACAGTACTCGAAGGACAGTCGAAGGACAGTCCTGTGACCGTGGTATCTGAATAAAAGAGGATGTGGAAGAAGCCCCAAAAAGTGATGAGGTTGAAGCGGTTTGGGTAGAAGTCTCTGCACCGGGTTTTGTCATAGATATTGATGCTTCAGAAAAAAGGGGCCTATTTAGATCTAGAGAAGGTTGAGAAGTACTAGCTCCAGTCAAGCCAGAAGTGATTAGTGGATTATCTGTTGTTTGAAGATGCTTAAAAAAGAGAGGCGACGATAGTGGCGCAAGCGAAGAACCAGGAGAAACCGAGAAAGGCGGAATTAATGCTAAGACAGGTGGAGAAAGTGCAGAATCAGATGATACCGATACAGGTGGTGAAATTGGTTTTCCCACAGACACGGCCTTGTTAAATGAATGTCCAACTGAAATGGCTTTTTAGATGGATCATCAGCAAAAGAAGCATTTCTTGGTGGAGAGAGTAGTGAAGTCCAACTCTTTTCTGGTAAAACATGGAAATCCTCAAGTTTTACAGGTTTATGCTTGGCGCTGTCTGCTAGCGTTTGATCCTTTTGCTCGAACGTGTTTTTCATGGGCACAGTAGGTATTTTCTCAGGTTCAGCTGCTTCATGCTTTGCACTTGCTGGCATTAACTTTGGAGTAACAGTTGTTTCAATACTCATAGGGGCTAAAAACCCATCTGCTTGATCCTTTGCATGCATTGTGTTTCTCATCGGCTCACTTGTGGAAGATAGGGCAGTGTTAAATGGAAACAGTTGCTTGATGGGACTGGCACCTTTGGGTTGGGTAATGGACTGTGTCTTGGTAGCCATTATAGCTTGGCTACTGGAAAAACCCGTATGCTCCTTGCGCGTGATAGAAATGTTTTTTCCATCAGAGAAACCTGGTGGTGATACAGCTTGGGCCCCAGTAGAGCTTGATGATGGTGTCGATGCTTGAGGAATGGTTTCTGGCAAACCTTGGGTTTTTGGAGATATCAATTGTGCTATTTGTAATGGTTCAGAAGTTTGACCATTTGAAAAATGAGGTCGAGGATCCAGGTGTCTCCGAGCCAATCGCATGGACAGGTGACATCTCCTGAATCCCTGCAGCCAACCAAAGAAAAATAGAAAATGAGAACTTTTAGCAAATCAATGATTTTTGGATAACATTAACTACAGCATAACCTGGAACTTAGTGTCATATTAACCTTTGTCAGGAGATGAAGCAAATAATGGGCGAGCAGGTGGTGTAAACTCCTTCTGGCGAGAAGGTGAGAAGCCAACTCTGTTTCGCAAATTTGGAAGCTTTTCAAGTGATAATTTATCTGAAGAAGGTTCCTCTCGTGGAGTCCTTTTTATTGTGGTTTTGGGAGGCTCCACATTGATCCAACTCTGCAAAATCAAGCGCAAGCAGTCGCATTAGCATTGGACAGTCTTTCCATTCTAAGCCAAGCCATTGACTATCTGCATTTGCTACATTAACTAACTAAAGGCGCTAAAAGAAGCAATAAATGGAAAAGGCGGAATTATGTGCCAAATCTAATAGTGTTTTAAGAAAAGATAATGAGACAGTGCAAGGAATCCCCATCACATTTCATGTGGAAGGGAAAGGTAGGCAAGGCTCATAATCCACCACAGAAATATATTTAACTTTTACCAGGCCGGTCAAAAAAAAGTCGAAGAGCCAACGAAGCAAATATTGTCACAACTGAGTTTGGGAAGCACATAATATTTTGATCTTTATGCAATAATTTCTAGCTGCTTCTTACTACTGGACAATTAAATCACTGCTACGCATTCTGCCAATCCCCAACTCAACCATTAAATTAAGATCGGGCTGATAACAGAAAAATCTATATTTCATGACTTGAAATCAAAGTGTTACACATATTTAAAACATTGTAACAACAGAATCAAGCATTCAGTTTCACCAAAATAATATTACAAGTCAACAATTAATCAATTCATTATCAATAATTCTGGTTTTAGGTCCTGTTTAAGATTAAAAGCCAACAATGAAGAAAGCACAATGGCATGCATAATCTAGTGTGTATTTGTACAAGATTATAAAAGCAGATTTGGATGCAGAGCCTACAACCATCAAAGAAAGTAAAAGGTTCACCTAAACATGGATAGAAAAAGGGATAAAGGGAAAAAAATATTACCTTCTCCATTGAGTTTCTCCTCCTTCTTGCAGTCTGTGGCTCAAATAGTTGAGCACTTGACAACTTTCTTGGAGGGCTCTCTTTTGTTGAGCTGAATGAGGATGAAGAAAATTTCTTGCTTGCATAAGAAGAATGTTCAGACTCTTTTACTTCTGGGGATTTAAAAAGGTCACTACCACCAGTGAGACCAATGGATTCAAACAACTCCTTTGCTGCATTCCGTCTCTTTACAGATGGAGCCTCAATATTTAATGCAGACATTTGGTCCGAGAGGATATCTGCAAGCCGCTCAGCTACAGTTAATTGCGAATTCATTGTGTTGTATAAACTATGCAAGGATTGGATTTGTCTGCACGAAAGGAAAAGTGATCATATCAACAGACATTAGTAAAGGTTCGGTACTAATGGGAAAATTCAGAACTTGTAGATTACTGAGTCATATAGTTTTTTTTTTTCTATATAGTTACAAATGATTAGTTATACCTGTCCATATGCACCCCTAATGTACAAAAATAACATGTCTATAAACAGATTGGCATAAGTTGAAACTTCTTAAATCCATTCCCCCACCCCCCTCTCCCCCTCAAAGAAAAAAAGAAAACCACCCTAAAGTTTTTAAATTAATTTGCCCAGCTCCACCAATAAAGAACAGTTTCTTGACTGCCATGCCAAGCACTATTCTTAACTCTGAAAATTCAGAAGGTTATAATGTGGATATTTTATGGGAGTCAGCAACGACATTCATAGTAAACAAATAATGTCAAATGCAAATGATTAGTCACGGGACAAATATACCATATTGTCATTTATGTTAATTAACTACAGTTAGTACAATGACATTTGGTACAGCTACAAACATTACACTTTTCAGATTTCCCAAATTCTCCAAAACCATAAAGATCTAGGGAAAATATGAGCATGAGCATGAGCATTACAGAAACATGACGTCAATGTGAAACATGAGCATTACAGAAACACTTCATCAAGAAAAGGATTTCAGTTTTGGGCAGTCCTTGACGGTTGCACACTCCTTTGAAATGCTGTTTGTGCCTTGAGAGCACCACCAGTTTCACCAAATTTATCAAGCTCAAGAGCATTGAAATGTTTTTCCAGTTCTATAAGCTGACACCTCAAATTCTGGAAAGGTCTCATAAAAACAATCTCAGGCATGCATATACAACAGAAATAAGTTTGTCTATGCAAAAAAACAAAAATACCTGACTCGCTTTCATTATTTTCTCTCTTCAGCTCAAATTCGGGGCTCAAATTCTGGCAGTTCCACGACTTCCAATACTGGTCATCAGCAGCTTGCTTAACAATGCTTTCCGTATGCAGTCTCCAAGCAACAACTGAAAGGAATTTTCAGGTTCAGGCAAATGAGAAGCAGGTAAAAGTGCAAGCAAATTAATAATATAAAAATTGGAAACCCAGCTCATTGGTTGCATTTTTGCAGTAACTGTGTTCTATATTAACACATTCGCATTCTGTAGGATTTATGATTCAATTTTTATAACTGAAGCTTAGAGACCCAATGTTACAAACCTAGAGACAATTAAATTTGGCTCAGTATGACCAAAGGAGGCCCTATAACCATTCAAGTCAACCTTTCAAGCTCAAATTGGCCTCACAAAGCGTAGAATGCAATACAATATATGAAAAACCAGAATTGATCAACTACTACTTTTTTTTCTTTTAATTAACCAAATCTGGTAGATTAGTAACAATTTGTTGTGACAAGTAGAATGCACTACAATACATGAAAAACCGAAATTCATCAACTACTACTTTTTTTTTACTTTTAATTAACCAAATCTGGTAGATTAGTAACAAGTTGTTGTAACCTCTAGTAATGCCCTCATTACAACTTTCTTTTTGGGTAATTTCTTGATGATTATTTTTTAGTTCATCCGGGCTGATTTCACTTTTTGGCTTAAAATTACAATCCAACTAGCAGGTCAGAGTGCTTTCATAGCACTTACTTTATGTGATGTGAAAGTCAGGGTTGCCATGATAACATGGAGATATATTCGCGAAAAGAAAGAATTATGAGCTTCTAAATGATTCTTAGAGGATATGAGATGAGGCTATGTAGAAGAGACTTAAGGGAAATCACCATCAGCACCAAACATGTATAGAACCTTAACCAAGACATTGGCATGTATTCAAGGAAATTCCTAATTATGTGAAGTGAGCGTTGCAACATCAATCAAAAGATCTGGAATGGTCTGCATGGGAAATTAATAAGACAATGACCACCACTAAGACGAGAAAGCAAATTTAAATGGGCACATTCATTATCTTTTATACAAAAAGTATGTTGCACAATACTAACAAGAATCGTATCAGCAAGTTGACTTCAAGGAGTGTAACAGGGAATTATCCCAAGCAAAACCACTAATTTGGAGCAATGGAAATTACCTTGCAGAGTTTTATCCCAAAGAGATTGCATTTCTTCATGCCTTTTCTCAATTGTGCACTACAGGAGGACAACAAATATCATTGATACAAACTCTCGCAAGCCAAAAAACTTCATTTCCACTCAACTATTTAGTTATTTCTTTACAATTAAGCCTAATCTGATTTATAAAGAGTCGTCAACACTAACTGATGTGTCAAAGATCGCCGTGGGTATCATGAATGGCTATAGGACATCATTACCTTGCAAACTCTGCAACTTCTCAACAGGTTTTGAGATTATATATACTCATTTAGGTAGGCATCTCATTATTATGTGCCACCAAGCAATGAAACCAATACTAAAAATATAGTTGCATTGCTAGTGGGCTATTAATAAAGAAAATCATGACTGTGATTGTTATCTTGGTCTTTGAGGTTGGGATAGAGATCACAAAATGTAAAAATCGAGATCGTCAGAAGATCCCTTTTCCAAAGCGAAGGAATGAGAACATGCTGGGTCTAGAGGGCTCCCTAAAAATCTCTTGGGCTTCTTCTAATGGAATCCTCCCTTCCATACTCCATACCCTCCACTCTACGATTGCATTTCAATGGACTTCCCTTTTAGGTTAGGATTTCCATATAGGGTCCATCGGTTCCCATCGTCCATGAATCCTCTATCCCTGACCACGAAGGCTAGACCATCGTAGTCCACAAAAAACATAGAAACACTGCTACGGACCACAATATTTCTACTCTTGGTGCTCCTACTCCCCACTTCACCCCAAATCTCAGTAGTCCACAGTGTCACAATCCTTCTAACGTGTCACGTCCTCAAACGATCTCCATTTTTTGGGATTCACCCGACGCTCCTCGAACACCCCATCCCGTTAGTAATGATGATTTTGGCAAGTCATTTTCCTCTTTTCCTTCGCCTCCTGCCACTTGTTCTCTCTCTACAATACTTGCATTAACTCCTCCCCCACTCCACCGCCAAATCCTACACTTTCCTAAGGAGTATTATTTCACCCCCATCCCAATTGGACACTCCACAGCACTCCTCCCTTCCCTCATTTATTGCTAGCGCTTCCATCACTCAACATGTGCCGCCCTCTAACCAGCTGCCTCAGCATGTATTTAATTTATGCATCTAACCCCAAGTGCACACCCATTCCCCTTTATCCTAGCATTCGCCCTCAACCATCCAGGTGGCTAATCTGGCGGCACACTAATCCCCCTCCCTCCTTCTCATCTCCCTACCTAGTACACCTCATCTCCTCCCATTCTTGCTTACTAGCCCACCTGCCCCCCCCCCCCCTTAATTACACCTAGTGCACCTCTTCCCTATACTTCACCCATCTCAAGACCGTCAATCTCACCCCTCTGTTACATCTCTTCATCTTCCCCAACCTCCTCTCCTTCCTCTTCCCTATACTCCTCCCATCCCTCTCACTCCACCCCTCCTCTTAATGAGCCCCTGCAAGCCACCAGTTCTTATAATCGTTCTTTACAATGCCAACCTCCATACCTCCTCCCCCCCTTCTCCTCCCACTTCCCTTTCCTCCTCCCCCTTTCCCTCTTCTTTACCCCTATTCTTGGCCCTTACTCCTTCCTCACAAACCTTGCTCCATCCATCTTCCTTCTCAGAGATGAACATTAGAAGCAAACTGCAATCACGTCCGCCCCTCTTGCCTTCCCTCTACTCCCACCCCACCCCCTCCCATCATTCCTGTGCTACCCCACCCCCTAATGTCGTTCATGCAAACTCCTAGTTACATCCATTTCCCCAGTTTCCCCTCCCCCGCATCCTTACAGCAACGCCCATTCCCCTTTACTTATTCTCTAAACCATCCCCATCCACCCATGTTCAATCAAACTCATATGCTACTCCCTTCCCTAACCCTAGAATTCAAGAAGGTTCCCTAACCCCAGGATTCAAGAAGGCAGCAGTTGGACTTAGCCCAACTAGTCCCCCTCCCGTTGGAGATGAGACTAGCTATCAACACCCACGACTCATCAGCAGGTAGGATTCCTCTCTTTATTCCCCCACTTCAATTCTTTGTCACTCCAAATGGCAAACTCTTACACAAGCTGAACTTCTATTTCTTTCATGTACTCCTCTACAGGTTCTTCCCTAAGAAGCACAACCTCCCACTCCAGATTTGCCTCCCTCCATTCCTTCCCCCATTGAACCTTCTCAACCTTGCAACCCATCTCCTGTTCAAGGGAGGAGTTCAACTTTGATATCCAATCTTTGACATCAGTTGACTTCAGGGAGCTAGCGAGAATCGATAGAGGACTGCCTCGCATGGAAACCATGACTTGAACGGGATGTGTATGATGGTAACATCTCCGACCTTGCTGACACTCTTAGAGCAGACGCTGGTGCTTCTCAGGTAACTCCCTCTCCTGAACTCCCTAAAGGCTTTAGAGAGCTTGCCAAGCTGCATTCAAGTATCAATTACAATACCCCCTCGCACGCTTTTGTTTACGTTCCTTTTCTAGCCTCTATGTCTCACAGCCCTAAGAAGAGAAGGTCTAGAAGGAGAACCTCCAAATTCTCCCAAATGAAGAGCCTCTGCTGGAATATTAGGGGACTTGGTAGTCATTCCAAGTGTAGTGTTGTTCACTCCCTCGTATCGGGCCATAATACTGATTTCCTTGCTCTTTTCGAAACTAAGCTCCCGACCACAAATCTTTCTTTGATTAGGGAGGTTGTCCCACTACAAGGCAAGAGTTATGACCTAAGCTACTATTTGAAGCTCCGGCTGCAAATGTTCCTTGGATCCTTGGTGCTTTAATGTTGTCAGATGAACCCATGAGAGAAGCTACGAAGGCAACATCACTACCTCCATGAGAGCATTCTCTGACGTCATTAATAGTGTCCCCCTCTTAAACGTTCCCCTCTCCAAAGCTTCTTTCACTTACTCCAACCATACCTCAGTGCATGTCATGACTAAGATCGATAGACTCCTCATCTCCAATGAGTGGGAAGCAAGGTTTCCTAGAACCCATTCATCTACCCTCCCCAAGATCACCGCTGACCATAAACCCATCCTTCTAGACACCAGCCTTATTCAGTGTGCCTTCAAACTTTTTAGGTTCGAACTCTTTGGTTGGAGAACCCTTGTTCTCCCCAACTTGTGAGAAGCTGCCGGCCCTCCTATTTTGTAACAAGATGGGCGGGGTACAAACTTTCTAAAAAACTTCAACTTCTTAAGGCTCCATCAAACAATGGAGCTGCAACATCCTAGGAAATTCTGACAGCATATTCAAGCTTATTTGGCACAGATCCCGAGCTTAGATGTCCTTGAAGAATCAAGACCCCTTTCTACTAAAGAAACCTTAGATAGATTGATTCCCAAACAGAATCTCCTTCATTTCCTCAAATAGGAAAAAACCTGAAGGTGCCAAAGATCCAAGATTAAGTGGTTAAGGATGGGGATAGGAATACAACCTTCTTCCATAAAACTACTAGCTCTAGGAGAAGTGGGAATGCTATTTCTCACATCTCAATAGGAGATCGCTCCTCCTCTAAGCCTGACCACATAAATAGGACTTTTATAAGGTTCTTCAAAAACCTCTTTTCCTCCCCTTTTACTCCTAAACTGTTGCTAGGTGATTTAACCTATCTCACCCTCCCCCTTGAGGATGTTTCTTGGCTCGAAAGACCTTTTTCGTTAGAAGAGATTCATCATGCGGTCCTTCAGCTTGCCAACAATAAAGCCCCTGGTCCAAATGGTTTCCCTGTTGTTATTTTCCAATAATTCTGGGATGCCCTTGCCCTTGACATGTTAACTTTTTTTAATGAATTTTAACATAGAAGTTGTCTTAAATCAGTGTTGAACTGTACTTTCTTTGATTTCTAAGGTAGAAGGGGCTGAAAAAGTGAGGGACTTCCGCCCCATTAACCTACTTAACTCCTACAAAATTCTTTTCAAGGTTCAGGCCTCTT